CTGGACATCGGAGGGGAGCGCCCAGGAGACAGAAGGAAGCGTGCACCCATCTGCACTGGTGCCCAAGCCAGCGCCTGGTCTTCTCACTCCTACTTCTTGATCACTGTGACAACTGTCTCCTCTCTCAATTCCTTACTTAGCACAGGCCTCTGCATACAAAGCTGTTTGTTCAAAACCCTCCAGGCCAGCTGCCGCTCTGGGATGGAACTTCTGCACCCTCCCGCCCCTCCCTCCCTCTCCTTCCTTTCCTGTCTCCTTCTTCCTCTTTTCCTTTTCCTCACCCTCATTTTCTTTCAAAAAATAATTTATTGAGGTGAAAATTACATAACACAAAATTAACCATTTCAAAGTGAAAAATATATTCGCAGTATTGTGCAACCACCACCTCTACCTTGTTCCAAACTATTTTCATCTCCTTGACCAGTTTCTCCCCAGTCCTCCCTCCCCCTAGCAACCATCAGTCTGCTTTCTGTTTCCATGGATTTATTTGTTCTAGATATTTCATGTAAATGGAATCACATGATATGTAACCTTTTGTGTGTCTATTTATTTTGAAGAGCAGGTACATTCACAAGGTTCATAACTGAAAAGTCAGTAGATACACAGTGAAAAGTTCTCTGCTGCAGGGTCACCTAGTTTCCCTCGCTGAGGTAAAGTATAACCTCAGTAGTTTTTGTTTATTTTTGTTTTTCTATCCTCCCAGATATGTTTTATGCATATATAGGTAAATATAGATATGTCTACACACATGTTCTGTCTGTCATGTATCTGTCATCTACCTGTTTGGATCTGATTTTTTTTCTCCTAACATATCTTGGAGATAGTTTCATATCAATATGTAAAGAGCTTCCTTCTTCTTCTCTTTCTAACGATTGCTTTATATTCTTATGAATGGATGTATCATAATTTATGTAACCATTCCTCCCACCAATGGACTTTTAGGTTGTTTCCAATCTTTTGGTATTATAAACAATGTCACAATGAGTCACCTGTACATTGGCCAATGTATCTGTAGATAAATTAGGAGTCCGATATTCTGGGTTCAAACTTAGACACATTTAGGCAAGATAAGAGTGGACTCCTGTTACATTATATAATAAATAACATTCATGGATTGGGAAATATGCATAGACACTGTGCTAAGCATTTTTAAGCAGCTTTATTGCAATATAATTTATATATCATAGAATTCACTCATTTAAAGCATACAATTCAACATTTTTTAGTATTTTCACAGAGTTGCGCAATCATCACCACAATTGATTTTAGAACATTTCATCACCCCAAAAGAAACCCTGTACCCATTAGCCATCACTTCCCATGCTCCTCTGCCCCCAACCCATGGAAACCACCCACCTATTTTTTGGATTTGCCCATTATGGACATCTCATACAGATGAAATCATACGATATGTGGCCTTTTACGTGTGGCTTCTTTCACTTAGCATAATGTTTTCAAGGTTCATCCATGTCATTATTCCATTCCTTTTTATTGCAGAAAATCCCTGTATTTTTACATCTTGAATCAATCTAGCATTTCCACTTAGGCAACCCAAGTCCTTTGACCAGGGTAGTTACAGGCAGGTGTACCCCAAAATTTGCAGGGCCTGGAAAACAAAAAATGGGAGCCTCTAAGTCAGATGCCTAAATATTAAAAGCTGTAAATCAAGCCAAACAGTTGTTAAATAAATTATGTTTGATCCTCCTACATCGACAAATAGGTGTAAAGTTATGGCTTTTATATGACTAAAAATTGGCAAAATATCAAAGATGACTAAATTCAATTATTATTACAAAATTAGAATATATTATGGTAATAATGAATTCATTTTCAAAATGAATTGAATAACTTCAATTTCAAAATAAATTGAATAAATTCAATTCAAAATATTTTTTATGCTTTCAAGAGCTATTTTTCTAAAATATTCAAAATTATCTACAAAAGTTAAAGGAAAGAAATATAATTGATAATTAACCTGTGAAAAATTAAATTTCAAGTATTTACAGTTAAAATTTTTACTTGACTTTTTGAGAATGTAATGAAATCTTATTAAATATGATTATGAAGAAGCTGTTTGTGATTCTAGTGTTCCATGTCTTTGACTTAGTATCATGTTTCATGTATGTTATGCCTAGACCTACATCTATACACATGAGAGAGTAATATGAATGGTTTCATGATGAAAAATATGCCTTAGCCTCCACGTGAGCTGTTGCATTTACTGCACTAATTTTTGGGAGTCCCTCTGGAATTTTATGTTAGAGAAACAGGAAAATGGAGACTTGGCACTGGCAGATATGGCATGTCTTACCTAAGGATCTATTGCAATCAAGGTGTCTCAGTGGAGGGATGTGACAGGTGGATTTGTCTTTTATTTTCATTTTATTTTTTTAAAGATTTTATTTATTTATTTGACAGAGAGTCAGGAGAGGGAGAACACAAGCAGGGGGAGTGGGAGAGGGAGAAGCAGGCTTCCAACATGGAGCAAGGAGCCGGGACCTGAGCTGAAGGCAGACGATTAATGACTGAGCCACCCAGGCGCCCCTGGATTTGTCTTGTACCGGATCACCTGCACAGTTCCTAACCCACTGGCCCTCTGAAGCAGTGTGTCCGCACCGGTAGTGGCACAACCCACAACCCCCACACATTCACATGCCTTTTGTTTCAAGGGCAGAGAGCAGGAGACATGGAGAAGCAGTGCCCTGGAGTCTAAACGGTGTTACTTGTGAGAGGGGGCATCCTGGTGCTGGTGCCACATCTCAAGTAAAAGAAGAGCCATGTGTTCTTTCACACATTTGTGTGTGTGTGTGTGTGTGTGTGTGATTTGCAGGCTCCCCTACAAGCATGGGCCGAGAGGAGAGGCCATCCTGCCCAGTTCTGAAAGAAATACTGCTCTTACGCTTGAGCTGAGATTACAGATAAGGCCTTTCTGAACAAAACCTCTTTTACTGTGATGAGGGGTGGTGCCTGGCTGGCTCAGTCCATGGAGTGTGAGACTTTTGATTTCCGGGTTGTGAGTTCGAGTCCCACACTGGGTATAGAGATTACTTAAAAATAAAATCTTAAAACAAATAAACAAACGACCTCTTTTACTCTGATGAATGCAGGGAGTGGAGGTGAAGGAGGAGGGCAGACCAATTGTCTTACTTGGCTGACAAAAACAAGTCTATCTACATCTGCTGACTTGCGCAGCATGGCCATTTTAAGTGTTGCCCATCTGCCCATCTGGCTGTTACAATTCACACAATCGCAAAAGCAGACACAAGGGCGCCTGGGTGGCTCAGATGGTTAAGCATCTGCCTTCGGCTCAGGTCATGATCCCAGGGTCCTGGGATCGAGTCCCGCATCAGGCTCCCTGCTCAGTAGGGAGCCTGCTTCTCCCTCTGCCTCTCTCTCTCTGTCTCTTATGAATAAATAAATAAAGTCTTCAAAAAAAAAAAAAAGGCAGACACAAAGTCTCTCATTTACTCATTCATTCATTCACTTAATGGTATTAACTGAGCACTATCTTCTAGGTGCCTTTCTGGGTTGGCAGAGTAAAAAATGAATGGAACTGTGAGGACTCATGAGGTATAGGGGACAGACTTGAACATGAATAATGGCAATAACGTGGGGTTTAAAATGCTGTGGGAGCACAGAGGAAGGAGCAACTGCCACATCAGTGTGGACTGGGCTAGAGGAGGTTTCAGAGGAGATGGTGGAGTAATACTAGCTTCCATAGATGCCACAGAATGCCTGCCATGTTCCAGGCTCTCCTCGCATACTGTCACGTGTACTTCCCACAAAATCTTTCAGAGGTACTCTATGTCCATTTTACAGATGAGAAAATTGAGGACCAGAAAGGTTAGGTAACTTGTTCAGTGCCACATAGCTGGTAAGTGATGGTTCTATAGTTGCACCTCCCAGATCTTCCTAACTTCACAATGGATGAGCTTTCCACCGTGTCTTGGTATTAGAGGAGTCTTGACGGATGTGTAGGAATTTACCTGAGTGGAACAAGGGTGTAAGAGCAACAGGGGAAAAACAACAGCATCTGTTATTGGAGATCTGAGACATAAACTAAAATTATGGCTGAGCATGTTTGAGTATCTATAAAGATGAGGTCACATAATTACAGCCATCTGACTGACTTGAATAGGGTCCTGTGCAAATCCCTTTTGCCTGGTTGATTTATAATTCCCAAGAGGCCCAAGTTCTAGGTAACATCTAAATTCTCTCCGCCCAGACACACATTCCTACTCTTTCACAAGTGTTCTTGGAGAAGGGAGCGGTGAGGGAGACAGCGGGGAGATTCTCCAGTGTGTGCTCCGCACAACCTCGCTGTGGATTTGCTTTTCTGAGCCGATCTAATCTTGAAGTTAGCTTTCCAGACATTCCCCAGGCAGCAGTCCGAGATGTGAGCCTATATGTCTCCGGCCCTGTCCTGGGGTTTAAACGGGCTGCACGGATTCTCCAACCGGAAATCATTAGCGCTGGAATCCGCTTTGAGGGCGGCCCAACAAGCTACTATGCCTTTCTCCACTCCTCATCCAAGTTCTACCCTTTCCTCGAGTTTTTGCCCAAATCATACCTCTAGAAGCATTTTCAGTTGGGATCACAGTAGCTTGGTCTAGACTGAAGTTACGAGTGAATTTTAAAAAAATCGTTCCACTTGAGACCACCTGGAATAAGTTCCATCTAGAACAAGCTCTGTGGCAACATTAACAAGAAAAAACACTCCTGTGCCCGGTAGGCACGCAGCGTTTGTTGACTGAACTCAGAAGGGCCGGGAGGGGGGCGGGTCCGGCTTCCACCCAGGCGCGGGAAGAGGGCCGGGCCGCCGAGCGAGGCTGGGCGGACCTTAACCCCCGCGCCCCCAGGGCGTTCCGCCTCCCGCCTCCCGCCCCCGCGGCCTGCTGGTGAAAGCGGCGGGGCGCTTGCGCGGGCGGCCGCCAGGTGGGCAGGTACCTGGGCGGAGCGCGCCGTGGTTGGCGGGCGGCGGCGGCGGGCCCGACACCCGGAAGAGCCGCCGACTCAGCGAGCTCAACAGGCGGCCGAGCGGGGCTGCGTCGTGTGGACCCGTCCCGGGATGGACAAGCTGAAGAAGGTGCTGAGCGGCCAGGACACCGAGGACCGGGGCGGCCTGGCCGAGGTGAGCGTGCCCGGGAACGAGGCGGGACTTCCAGGCTTTCCTGGAAAGCGGCGCCGCGCCGGTGCGTCCTCCCCGCGGCGGGGCCCCGCGCTCCCCGCGCCCCTGCAGGTGCCGCGCCGGGCCCTCCGCTCCAGGCGGTCGGCCTGTGCGTGCTCTGTTGCCCGGCGCCCCCTCAGCCCTCCCCGCCCCAGCGGCCCACTCGAGAGGGCGGAGCCGGAGCAGAACCCGGGGAACGCCCGCGGGGGCAGGCGCCGTCCCGGATGGTCCCTCCAGCCCCGCCCGCCTCCCGGAGCTCCGGGGCCGAGACGGGCAGGGCGGGCGGGCCCCGAGAGCCTGGCGGAGGGAACCCGCGTCCGGGTAGGTCGCCTGGGCCTGGCGACGGGCCCGCAGCTTCCCCTGCTCGCTGCCCCCGTACGGCGGGGCTTAGTTGTCGGTGTGACCCTCCCACCCGACCTTGGGCACCTGTCGTTGTTGTGACGCGTCTCCACCGCGGAACCGTGAACTCCCGGAGGGCAGGGCTCACCCTTGTTTCTCTGTGCCCCCAGTCCGTCCGTAGACGCTGTAGACACCCAGGATCTCGTGGGACTGCCCGCGCGTGTTTGTGTGACTGTTTCGCTAGAGAGGCTGGGTCGAGCGGGAATCTGGGCGCTCGGGCCCTGTCTTCTAGAGCCCCACAGAATGATCATTTCCTGTTTCGAGTGCTTTTTTCGCTCTTGTTTTTGTTTTCCTTTCTGGATGACAGAATAACATTTTACTTTTTGGTGTGTATTCCACGGGCCTCAGTTTCCCCAGCTGTAAAGTGAGGGTGTTGAACAAGAGAATACAGCTTCTTTCAACTCTAAACCCACGTTTTCCTCCTAACTTTAATCAGTGTCACTCGTGGTTTGTTCTCAGCATCTTCTTTCACCCACTTTTGTGGTTGCTGATTTTTTTTCTGCATTTTGTGTGATACTGGTACCCCCTCTGTGAGATTTCAGAACTTGTAAAGCTTACTCTCTTAATCCTCACTTTGAAGAAGCAACACTATAGGAATTGGAATTGAGTATCATAGGGTTTTATTTTTTTGACATTTCGAAACAGCTCTGTGGGTTCCTTTTAATTGGTTGCCTTTATTAGTTGGTCAAAGCTCAGGAGTAATTTCATGCATTTTTTTGTTTTTGATTTCTGGCTTCTGAAGTCAAACCCCAGGCCAGGCCTAAGAATACCCAGGTAGTTGACAGTCATGTGGATCTAAAAGCATTATGCCCTGTGGACTGTCATCAGGCTTTTACAAGCAGCTAGGGTTCAAGAGGGAGACACTTTATCATCCTGAGGCCTCTTGTGGGGGGAGTGTTGATAGCGAGATGATGCAGATATTATATATTTAGAAAAAAAACCGTGAAGCAGACGCGTAAGAGTGAATGATTAGTGCGGATTGAAGATGTAAACGCTGAGTTTGTTTTTACCTACAATGGTGCCTGCCTGCGTTGGATGCAGTGAAGGGCTTTAAAATGTTGGTATTGAGTGGTTTCATGTTTCCCATGGCTTTGAAGCTGGCAAAGAGAATTGTGTGCTGAAATTTCTGCTTTGTGTGGTAAGTTGGACTACGTGGCCTTATGGGCTTTTTGAATTAAATCAAGTTGTCCGAGGTCACCATAAGTGAGTGCTTTTCAAATTTTTATCCTTTTAATGTAAACAATAAAAGCATGGCTAGTTCTGTATCTCCTACATATGAAACTGGGTATAAAAACTACTTGGCAATGCCTAATCACCAATACCCTCCTGACGAGGTTTTTAATTGATACCTCACCTTCATAAATCCGCCTTCAACCTTTAGTTTTAGTGGGCGTATTTCTTAAAGTATAGGTTTTATTTTTTTCATAGAGGATTCCAGGGATGAGTGGTACCTGGTTTGAAAGCACAGGTATGAAGCAGTATTCATTTCTCACCTTCTTCTGGTTACCAGCCCCGTTCCCTCCAACAGTTCTTAGCTTTACTTCATTTTGGCGAGCACCTTTCTTCTCTCCACATCCCCAAGTCAAAGGGACCTTTGTTCCTAACTGCCAGTCAGACAGCTTGGGTGCAGATCGCCTGTAAATTCTAGCCAGGGACTACTTTAGCTACTCTGATTTCCAGAAGGTGCCCCAGCAGCCATGAATTTAGAGAGGCCTTTTATATCAACTGAGCTCGTTTTTATAAATTGGCAAAAAGAAGGGCTTAGCCTTCACTGAGTCCAGCTGGTAAAAGAAGTGTGATGACACAGAGTGGGAAGACACAGTGATGAAAGGTTATCTGCACCCCCTCCCCCCATTTTGCCAACTAGGGTGACATTTGGGTGGAAATTCAGCTTGAGAGACTTGTAGAGCCAACACGTCACTCTCCTTTCCGAAGAAAGAAACCAGAACTGTGTCCTCTCGTCCATGAGTTTGATTTTTACGAGCACTGGGACGTGGACACCATATTTAGTTCTCTAAATGCCAAGGCCAGCTCACACTTGACACTTAACCTTATGGGTTATCCTCTTCACACGCACAAAAATAAAAAAAATAAAAAAGGTCAAATCTCTTAAAATACCCCTGTTGATGCCAAGTAGTGCTCAAGCCGTGAATCCGGTCCGGTTCTGCTCCGACGCTTTTCTCCCCGCGTGTAGCTCACTTCTTTTTTTCTACCTGGCAAAGTAAGTTCTTTGTTTCTTGCATGAGTAGGAGGAGTGGTGGCTTCTGATTTTATTTTCTTCTTGGTGGGAGGTTGAACATGTTAGTCAGAAGGCTGACCTGATTGTGGGGGCTGCCAGTGCAGCCTGCTAACAGAGCACCACGTGGCTCATTTGGGAGGTGCGCTGTGCCTCAGCACGGAACCAGGTGGTCCATCTGTCAGGTCCTGACACCCTGTGCCCACGGCGTGGTTACCATCCCTGATGGCGCCTTTCTGTGCAGTGTCCTACGGTGCCCTGTGTTTCCGCAAGTGCTTTGTGTGTGGTGGGGGATTGCAGTGTTACGAGCCCACTTTAAATATGTGTGAACAGGGACGCCTGGGCGGCTCAGTCGGTTAAGTGTCCGACTCGATTTCGGCTCAGGTCATGGTCTCAGGGTCGTGAGATCAAGCCTGGCATCGGGCTCCGTGCTGGGTGTGGAGCCTGCTTGGGATTCTCTCCCTCTCCCTCTCTAGAAAAAATAAAAAGTGTGAATAAATGCGGGAGGAGGAAGACCCCTTTTGATAACCTGCCCTTAAGACTGCCTTTCTCCTGAATGGAAATTAAGCCGTCTGTAGCAATGCTGGCCATACCCGGGAGAGCCGCTGTTCCTTCTTTCCAGGCGGTCTGGTTTGACAGGAAGTTTGGAGACAGGGCTGAAGACAGGTCCCTGAGCTGGGAGCAGTCAAGGCCGAAGGAGTTGTCAGTCCGGTGTCCCTTGCAGCTTCTGCCACCACCTTCGTTCATCAGGGGGTGGAAATGTTACTGGCAGCTTTCCCCCACTGCGGGAGGGAGACTGTGCTGGCCACACGAGGTGAGCCTGGTGTGAATACACTGGGTTGCCTGGGCAGGAGGCAGGACCTTTGGTCTCAGTGGCAGCTGTCTGTCCCCAGCCTGGAGCAGCTGTGGCCACTTTTCATGATGTGGACAGACTAGGAAGGTCTTTGGCGTAAGTTCCGGGCTGTCCTCTTTGACACGGGGGAAAAACCCTTGGGAGCTACTTGCAGGCTCTCCTGTTCTAGCAGAGTTGTCTTGGGAAAAGTTGGCATCCTCGGAGCTTTACTTTTGGGAGGGGTTACTTATGGTAGCGGAGAGTCAGATGAGTAGGGCTGTAGTGAATTACCTGGGATTTGTCTCACGCTTGCGTGACTTGGCTGATGCCAGCACCTCGAAGCACGGCATGAGTAGATTCAGCTCAGGGCCCTGACACAGATGAGAGCCTTAGTCCTTCGGCATCTCAGAGATGCCGGTAGGAGTAGCTACTGCCCAAGTTGGGCTGGTTGATGTAGGAGACCATGCCCGGTGGATCCAGCCCCCTGAGTGCCGGCCCCCGACCGGGCCCCGTTTCCCGGGTCCCTGCCTGGCGGAGCTCATGGCTTCCTGGTTGTCCTTGTCCGGTCCGGGCTGTGTAAGGGCTTGGGCTACTCTAGGGTCTACTGCTTTGCTGTGCTGTGTGTGAAATGGTTTGTGCTTCAGGTGGAGAGTTTACACCTCTGGGGATGTTCACCTAGAGGCTCGGTAACCTCTTATCTGCTGCCAGAGAGGAGATTTGTGGATGGATAAGGAGCTGGATTCCATGACTCAGGAGGGCTCTTGTAGCTATGAGTGAGTCGGATTCTTGTTCCTGCCTTCCGCAGGTCAAACTCACACGCTCAATCTAATTATGTGCTTCCCTTGTTTCTGGTGCTTAAACATGCATATACGTGTATGTAATCCCTTTTTTAAAAATTTCAGGTTGTTGAGGCATCTTCATTAAGCTGGGGTACCAGAATAAAAGGCTTCATTGCATGTTTTGCTACAGGAATTGTCTGCTCACTGCTGGTAAGATGACCCTCTCCTCCCCTGTCTTTTCCCCACCCTGTCCCTCCTTCCCTCTGTCTTTCCCCTTTTGTCCACCTCCTTTTCTCTTGCTCTTCATGGGATGCATGGATGAGAGAGAGAGGGAGGTGCTGAGGAGGGTGGGGAGGGGACTGGATGTCTCTGTGCACTCTTGGCTGTAGACTGTTGTAGGAGGGGTCCTCTGTGCAAACGCCCTGTGCTTTATCTTCCAGGGAACTCTTCTGCTCTGGGTGCCCAGGAAGGGACTATACCTCTTTGCAGTGTTTTATACCTTTGGTAACATCGCATCAATTGGGAGGTAACAGGTGTTTTTTTTTTTTTTTTTTTAATTTAACCATAGCCAATCACTAGATGGGAAAATGGGTGTGGACTGTGCTTGAGGGAGGTGAAGGAGGATGCTTTAATAGTTTTAAGGATTGGTTTCTCACCAAATGTAGTTAAAATACATCATACCCAACTTTATCATATAAAGTTAATTAATGGTAAATGCTAAGAACTCTATGCTAAATTTCCTTTCAAAAAATTTCCTCTTTAAAAATTACTGAAAAGGGGGGCGCCTGGGTGGCTCAGTCGTTGAGCGTCTGCCTTTGGCTCAGGTCTGGTCCCAGGGTCCTGGGATCTGGCCCCGCATTGGGCTCCCTGCTCTGCGGGAGGCCTGCTTCTCCCTCTCCCACTCCCCCTGCTTGTGTTCCCTCTCTTGCTGTGTCTCTCTCTGTCAAATAAATAAAATCTTAAAAAAAAAAAAATTACTGAAAAGGGACGCCTGGGTGGCTCAGTCATTAAGCGTCTGCCTTCGGCTCAGGTCATGATCCCAGGGTCCTGGGATCGAGCCCCGCATCGGGCTCCCTGCTCCGCGGGAATCTGCTTTCTCTCTCCCACTCCCCCTGCTTGTGTTCCCTCTCCCGCTGTGTCTCTCTCTGTCAAATAATAAAGTCTTTAAAAAAAAGTTTTAGTATTTTTTTTTTAAGATTTTATTTATTGGGGTGCCTGGGTGGCTTAGTCAGTTAAGTGTCTGACTTTGGCTCAGGTCATGATCTTGGGGTCCTGGGATTGAGCCCCATGTCAGACTCCCCATTCAGCAGGGAGTCTGCTTCTCTCTCTCCCTCTGCCCCGCCCCCCGCTTGTGTACTCTCTCTCTAAGTAAATAATAAATAACTTATTTATTTGAGAGAGAGAGGGCAAGTGAGTGAGTGGGGAGGAGCAGAAGAAGAGGGACAAGCAAACCGGGGTGAGTGCAGAGCCTGACGTAGGGCTCGATCCCACAATCTTGAGATCATGACCAAAATCAAGAGTTGGACATTTAACTGACTGAGTCACCCACGCATCCCAGTATTTTTGTATCTTAGTTTATTTTTTTAATTTTTATTTTTTTTAAAGATTTTATTTATTGAGAGAGTGAGAGACAGAGACAGAGCATGGGGGGAGGGGCAGAGGCAGAGGGAGAAGCAGACTCCCCGCTGAGCAGGGAGCCCGGGCGTGTGGGCTCCATCCCAGGACCCTGAGATCATGACCTGAGCCGAAGGCAGATGCTTAACCAGCTGAGCCACCCAGGCGCCCTTATTTTAGTTTATTTTTGAAATCTCCTGGGATAAAGTTACTGTTGAGGTTTTACATATAAGGGAACCGTGGCAGCCCGTTTTGCATGCTGCAGGTACACAGATAGCCCAGGTCAAGTGCAGTTCATGCTTCAGTCACACTGTGTGCAGACAGCAACAGTCCTGCTCCCAGCTGGGAGTGCTGGCCTGACTTCGGCCTACATGGCCCCCTGGAACCTGAACTCCGTGACCTTTTCTCTCCCGCCGCCTTCCCTTGTATCTCAGTCAATGGCCTCAGAGTGCTGGGTGTCCAAGCCCCGACCCCTGTATATTACTCACCATGGCTTGGTGCCCACCCCTTCCTGGCTCCTTTCTCTTTGTCTCTGTGGCTATTGTCCCTGACCATGGGACTCACGTGCTCAGTGACTAAGCCTTGCTCACACCCTGGGCTGGGCTCTGAGCACGCACAGACATTGGGGCCGCGGTGGAGCTCACTGGTCGGCCAGACAGACAGACATGTGAACTGATAATATAATAGGGCATGGAGAAAGAGGTGCTCAGGGAGGGGCAGCTGCCAAGATCTGACCCAGGGAGCCAGGGAGGGCTTTCTAGAGATGGTGATACCTGAGCTGCTCTTAGCTCTGGCTCGTATCACTTCCCAACTGAACTACCACAGGATTCCTCTGCTGGCTTCTCTGTCTCCTTTCGTGTCCCTCCTGGCCATTTTCAGCATTCGGTTACAGCCCTGGCTCACTCTCTAGCAGTACCTCATTTCCGCCACAGGTGCATGCATGGAGGAGAGGCCCAGTTCCATTCCCCAGCCAGGCCGACCTTCTTGCATTTCCCCAAACGTCTTTGTGCCTCTTCTGGGGCTAATTTCTCTGCCTAGAATGCTGCCCCATCTGTATCTCCCTCTTTGTTCCCTACCCCCCTCATTTTGGTGAATTCTTGCTCATTTGTGGGGACTTGGCTCAAAAATCACCGCTCCTATGAATCTTCTCCTCGTTACCTCTCCCCACCCCCACCCAGAACAATGACCTCTTCTTTCATATGGGACTCTGTGTGTCCCAAATATATTTTTGTGGCAGCACAGATAGCATTTTATTACATTGATTTGTTACAAGTCTCTGAGCCACTTGACAAGGGCTATATGTCTGCCTTACCTGTCCCTAATTGTCCCCAAACCTAGCTCTGTTTTTGGCTGGAAATGTTAACCAAATGATTGAGTACACGACTCTGGCTACCCTTCTAAAAACTTAATTTATGAATGCTTATGATAGTAAAATGCTGGCTCTCAGAGATGTCTCATCTCGCCTCTAAAGCCCTCTCACATACTAACTTTTGGAGCATTTTGCTTTGGGCAGACAGTGTAGGTTTAATGTCGAGTCTATAAATAGAGCATAAATACTGGCGTGTGTTGGTTAGTCTAGAAGAACTATTTAGCAAACCCTAATAGGGTTGACTCTTTATGGCTCTGCCTACAGAAGTAATAAAGGGAGCAAATGATTATTTCCAGGGTGTGTCTAGGAGTTTATGGCTTTACCTATAATCTGTTACTTTTTTTTAAAGATTTTATTTACTTATTTGACAGAGGGAGAGAGCACAAGCAGGGGGAGTGGCAGGCAAAGGGAGAGGGAGAAGCAGGGAGCCCGATGGTGTGGGGCTCCATCCCAGGACCCTGAGATCATGACCTGAGCCTAAGGCAGAAGCTTAACCCACTGAGCCACCCAGGCGCCCCTATAATCTGTTATGTTTTTGTATATATGCTGCATTTAATTTTTAAGGCCAGTCTTGGCTCTTGCTTCTTGTTCAGTGTTGGCTAAGAGTGCATCTGTGAATTCAGGTTGAAACTTAATGGTACTTTAAAGAGAGGTAGACTCATTTTTTAAATTTCTGTTTGTACCAAACACCCGGTAGCTAATGCTAAAACTCTGGATGTTACAGGGCTACTGTGGGGTGATGCCAGCCACATGGGGCATTTCTGTCAGGAATCTAGAGACATGACAGACCTAACCCTCGGGTTCGGCGTGAGGATCTGCTTGGGTTACTGTCCCTCACAGCCCCCTCTCAAGTTCCATTCACACTGAAAGTGCACGAGGGATGCCTTTCGGAGCTTTGGATCCAGTAGATGTGGGTTTGAATGCTGGCTCTTTTAAGTTCCTAGCTGTGTGATTGTGGATAAGTAAATGAACTTTTCTGAGCTTCATTTTCTCGTCTCTGAAATAAATAAGTGTAATAACACCTAACTTACAGAGTTGCTGAGGGATGGAATGAGGTCGAGTATGTCCTATCTGGCATTTAGCAAACACTGAACAAATCATAGATGGTACGATCAGTAGAATTATTCTCTGGAGACTATGAAAGAAAGTGAAGCGCTTTACTTTTTAATATCAGCAACCTAAACCTGTCAGGTGTGGTTTCTCTTTTTAAAATGATCTGAGTCTTTGGTTTGTTTGTTTGCATGGGTATATTGTTAAGGAGGCAAGGTAGCACCTCTTAGAGAGAGGGGTCCTCCAACCTGGTGGCTCTGGATGTGGTTCTAGAGTCAGACCTCCATGCACTTACAGCCTGAGGAGCTGGGGAGCCCTGGACAGGTAACAGATCCTTCGGGCTTCGGTTTCTTCCTCTGCAGAGGAAGTATCATGATTCCTGTCATCAGCCCCATGGGTTGTTGAAGGATTAGGTGAGAAGGCCCGTAAGCACAGCGGTTGGCAGGTAGCAAGAACTTCTCAGCTGTGAGCTGCCGTTACTGCTGTGACCCCCCCAAGGGTGAGCCTGGGGAGGCGATGGGGAGGCGGCGGTCTGTGCCTGGGGCGGGTCTGGTCTGGCCTGAATGGCTTGTGTGTGTTTGCCTCTCAGCACCGTCTTCCTCATGGGGCCGATGAAGCAGCTGAAGCGAATGTTTGAGCCGACGCGTTTGATTGCAACCATCATGGTGCTGGTAAGGCCTCCCTTTTAGCCGCACTTGTGAAATGGGACTTTTTATTTCTGCTGCATGGAGTTTTTTTCGTCTTCAACCTAAAAAGCTCTTTTCTTTTTCCTTTCGTCTCGACTTATTCCCGATGCCTGTAACCACCGAGGAGGCAGCGGGAGAATTCTGCATCTGATCATTACGCCCTTGGTGTTTCAGTTGGTGTTCGGGTTCTGCCAGCGCCCCCCTCCCCCCCAGTGGGCTGCTCAGAGTAGCCACACTGATGTGGATGAGGTCCTCCTGGACACTGGGGAAGCCACACACAGGCAGAGCTTAGAGGGAGTGACTCAGAAACACAGGCTTCGCCCCCTGGAGTGGGCATCTGGTCTCCTGGAGCGGCTCACTCATCCCTCCACATTATCTGACTGCCGTTGTTTGTTTCCATCCGTCTTTTCTGATGCGGGTCTGTTCTCCTCGTGGCCCCTCCTCTCTGTTCCCTGCTTGGACAGCAGTGCCTTCAGCTTGTCCCATTCTCCTCTCCCGTTGGTTCGAATGCCCCTTTCTCCTCTGGACTGCTGCCTTCTGTGTGACCGTGAGAATCATTCCAGACCACATGCGCTGGCTTTCGGTTAAAATTACCTTTATTGCAACATTTGGGACTCGATCAGTGTGCTTTTAGTTTTAGTTTCAATTCTGTCCATGTTGTTTGTTCAGATAGGTGAGTCCTCTAAGGCCGTGTCCACGTTTGCTGTTGACTGCATATGCACTGGCCCAGTGCTGGCCACAGAGGGAGTACTTCGGGCGTGTTTATTGAGTCGTTACGCTATGGAAGGACAGAGAGGACGGGCATGACCTGCAGCTCGAGCGCCATTGTTCTTGGCCAGCCGTGGGATGTAGATGGTCCGGACAGGTCTCTTGTAGAAAGAACTTTCTAAGAAAGGACTCAGGGAACGTGTTAGGTGACACGTAAACACATAACCGACTGCCTGATGTCTCGTGTTTCTCTTCGTCCCTGCCTCCTCTGCTCCAGACACAAGTGTTTTTGGCAGGGGTTCAAATACAGAGCTCTGTGTTTGACCAATGTTAGTGCGTTTGAATGAAAAGATGGATGGGTGAGGGGTGGACCAGGTTTTATTTTCTGGGCAGAGAATTTGGGAAAATTTGGAAGTCAAAGAGGATCCATTTCTTTTTAACCTACATCTGATCTTATTGGCTGGTTTCATTTCATCGGGATTTTAACTCTTCTGCCAAACATGGGTGCTCACCCTGAGTCCAGCGCTTTGAGAGGGAGGACAGCTTTGGTTGCTGTGATCATCACAGAATCTGGTTACTACGTGGGGATAAGTATTGTAAGTTTGCCAAGAATGGCAAAGTCTTAACGGTATTTTTCTCCATGTTGCCACTGTATTAATCGATGTTTTTCCTCTCTCTCTAGTTGTGTTTTGCACTTACTCTGTGTTCTGCCTTTTGGGTAAGTGTGTATTTTCATTTTCTTGAACCTTTTTGGTTTGTGCCTCTTGTCTCACACACTGGGTGGTAACTGTCCGTTTTTCTTTCAGTGGCATAACAAGGGGCTTGCGCTCATCTTCTGCATTTTGCAGTCCTTGGCCCTGACATGGTAAGTGATGTTTTAGTCTCCTCCCACGTCGCTGTCTGACTAATGCTGCTGAAGGAGATAAAATCCCACGGCGTGTGTGGGGGGGAGGGTAGAAAAACATAGAAACTTTTCAAGTTAAGAATTCTCAATGATGCAAGTGAAATCAGACTCCAGAGCGAAAGTCTGTGGACTCAGCCCCGTGTCCAATAGATGGCGTCAGTGGTCTTGGGTGGTCGGCGGAGGCTGTTTGCCTGCTGCAGTGTTTTTTCTTTTTTTTTTTTGCGGGGCTCCTGGTTGATTTTGAGATGTCATAAATGTTATTCAATCACTTCTGTCCGGTAGGAGCAAGGACAGTAAAGTATTATGGAGGCTGGTAGAAAGAGGCTTGTGAGTCAGATGTTGAAGGAAGGCGAGTGGTGAGAAGTGATGAGCTGCATTTGTGATGGGATGGATGATTTAGCCAAAGCACAAAGAGGGAATTGTCAGCAGGAGATGAGGGACAGTGAGTGATGAAACGGAAAACCACGTGGCCGTGGGCAGCACGATCGACAGGTGCCCTGCAGGCTGTTGGCAAGACCAGGGGGTTGTAGCTCAAGAGCCACGCATAGTGAAAGGGGCGCTGGAGACGTCGTTATGGGGGGCCGCGGATGGGGCTGTAGGTTCTGGTCCAACATCAGAGTGAGAGTGGTTCTGGCAGGCATGAAATTGATGGCTTCTGAGATGTTGCTATAGTCCTTCCAGAGTTCATGAAGGGATGAGGTCTGCCTGAACAGTTTCCATAGAGATGTGCTGATCTGCTTCAGAAAAAAAATGTTTTCTCTAGTGCAAAGGAGACAGGACTGAAAGTTCTAAAGCCTCCAAGGATCAACTGTACTCCTGTGTGGTAGAAATGGGGCTTGAGGCTGCAAGCTGAGCACCCATCCCTCCCTTTAGTCATTTGGGACTTTTGAATAAATATACTTCTCAAATGCTTTTTGGAATTTACTGTGTTCACAAGTAAGTGAATTTTGTACATGGGGAATGTAAGAAGAATCATGGGCTGATTTTAACGACACACATGTTTTGGGAGTAGGTACCAAAAGACCTGGTTTGATGGCTTATATTTACATATATGTATATATATATATATATATATTTTTCCCCCCCCAGGGGATGAAATTGGTACTCAAATGTACATGCCTTTTTTTTTTTTTTTGCTTATAGACTGAATTTGAAGCCAGTTTTCAGAGGTTTATCATTCATATGGGCTCAAGCAAATGGCAGTATTCCCTCCAGCCCTGACTATGTTGTGTTTTTCTCAGGGCTGGTTCTTTAGTGTTGTGGCCTCCTCCCTGCATGGGCCTCCCTTGGGTGAGGGGCCTGAGCCAACTGGGATCACCAAGTTATCTTTGGGCTTAGCTTCTTGAAGAGTCATAGCTTGCTTATATTTTTATCCATAGTATAGTTGGTAGTGGGTTTTTTTTTTCTTTCTGTTCTCTTTTCTTTTACAATTAATAGGAGCAGAGCAGAAAATTATCCCATTCGGATAGAAGTTCATTTTGTTGAGGATTTGTAAAATATTAGAGGATAGCTGATCTGGGTTTTATTTGGTGTTTTTAGAATAGGGCTCTGTGCCATCCTGATATGTGGGATCTGCTGACCCTGTGAGGCTGAGGTGACAGGGTCACCTCCATATGGGCCTTTGCCCTTCTCTGGCCACTGATGACACCCCCCCAACCTGTACGTGTGGCATGGTGTGTGTGTTCACGTGCGTATGTGAGTGTGCATGGGTGTGCGTGTACCCCCCCCACTGAGGAAGGAGAGGGTCTGGGCCATCATGGCAGGTGCCTCACAGCTTGGGGCCCATTCCTTCCAGTGATTCCCTCCATTTGATTTCGTCTCTTGTTTGTTTTCATTGCAGGTATAGCCTTTCCTTCATACCCTATGCAAGGTAAGACTAACTGTGTTTACGACTGTGACTTCTGTCACTTGGGGATGATGGTGTGTTTGCAGAGGGCCTTTGTTTTGAGTGCTTTCAGAGAACACGTATTATTCTATCTTCACTAAAGTTCTTTTAGACAAAGAGGCTAAGTGTCCTATACCTATTTTATAGATTAGTAAGCTGAGGGTCCTCTCTACCCCCTCCCCTCCCTGCGTTATGGGGTGATAGGCATTGGCCCAGGACCACCAATTCCAGTGGCATGAACATTCTCCTGTGATACGTAGTGTGTATGTGCATGTAATCACTCTTTGAACTTGTAGCTTTGCGGAGATCTTCTTAAAGGTGAATATCACTCTAGTATCCCTGAGGAGGGGGTGGAGGAATCCAAGCTCATGCTTGTTTTTTTGCAGTGTCTCATCGATGAGAATGTTCCAGAAGAGTTTATGAAGGGAAAGTCAGCAGGGCCAGGACTCGGAGGACCAGGGTTTCCTAATTAGCAGTGTGACCTTGGGCAGCTCACTGGACCCCTGTGGCCTGAGGGGACTCAGGGATAAGCAGAGTGGGCTGGGTCAGGTCATCCCCAGAGGCCCCTTCCAGCCGCCACACCTCCTTTAATTGGCACTTTCAGGGATGGGCCTCTCAAAACTGGCCGTGTGATCTTTGCCTGACTCTGCTCTCAGGCAGTGGTTTAATTTCCATACATCCCTGTCATTACCTGTAGCTAAAAAGCAGCTTTTCTTAAGCTGTATTGAGAAGATGAAAAATTGCATGGGAGCTGGGGAGGAAGAAGAGCAGGCTTGCATCTTATGTGCTCAGCCTCAGTGCTGACAGTAATTTGAAGATGCTGGGGGTGTCAGATGAGAAGTTTGCAAGCTCATCACAAGCTGCGTGGCTTGGGAATAGGTTCTAACAGGAAGTACTCTGCTGACCCAGCCAGTTTGGGGGGATGGTGGCTTGTTTGAGAAGAGTATGGGTAGAGCTGTCTTGGGCAACTAGGTTTTTATGTGAAATAAGCCAGAACCTATCATCCCTGAGCATCCAGTGACCTATTTATCAGTTTGCCAACAATTTGAATGTATCCTCATGCCGGTACCAGTTCCATAATTTTCAGGGCCCAGTGCAAAACGTAAACGTGGGCTCCTTGTTAAAAAATGATGGAGAATTTCAAGATGGCAGCCTCAGAGCATTAAACCGGAGGCGGAACCCTTGAAGTATGGGACCCCATGAAACTGCACACGTCTCTGACCCATGAACCCGGGCCTGCTTGGTGCCATTCTTCAGGGCCGCAGACTTGACCTGGACTGGCATTTATAGAGCTTAGGCCTTTCCCACAGTGTTCCACAGGAATAGTGGTTACATGGTAGAAAAAGGTTCCAGGGTCAAATAAGTTTGGGAAGGGGTTAAGCAAAATTAGATGGGTTCCTTGTTATGCAGCTTTCCAGGTCCTTTGATATGTGTGTTGTTAGCTGCCATGAGGAATCTTATTTGGTTGTAAAACTCTTTGTTCTGCAAAGCATCTCCTGGGACTATAGTGTAGAGCATATCTTAAGAAATGCTGCTCTAGAATTATCTTACTATTGCTTTTTTAAAGATTTATTTATTTATTTATTTATTTGAGAGAGAGAGAGAGAGAGAGAATGAGAGATAGAGAGCACGAGAGGGAAGAGGGTCAGAGGGAGAAGCAGACTCCCCGCCGAGCAGGGAGCCCGATGCGGGACTCGATCCCAGGACTCCAGGATCATGACCTGAGCCGAAGGCAATCGCTTAACCAACTGAGCCACCCAGGTGCCCAGAATTATCTTACTATTAAAGCACCATGCTCACCCATGCAAATGCATTCATTTACCTCTCCCTCCCTCCGTGACCGCCAGGATCCTTGGTGCGAGTGCAGCTGGGAGCAGAGGGACAGAGTCGGGGTGGGGAGCCCTCGTACTAGCCACACGTGGTGCCTCAGATGGCCGCGCTTGCTTGAATAGGACAGTAATTGATCGAACACCCACTCTTTCCTTGCATGCTGTGCAGTGACTTCTGGGACAGACCTAACAGCAGGTTAATAACTACTCGGTCACTACAGAGAGTCCCCTGTGCTTGGGAACTCCTGCAAGCTGTCCCTTAGCAACTTCCTGCTGTTTGGAAGAAATGCCCGAGTGACTACCGGATCTGATGTTTTCAGTGCATCTGGTGATTCTGGTTGACATTAAAGTGCACAGTCCTCTGTTCTTGGTTTCTGATGACCTCTACTTTCTTCTGGTCTTTTCCTTTGGTTATCATGAATAGCTGTCATTTGATACCTACTCTATTCACTGTATTAATTTCTGCAGTTTGTCTTTAGGGTAAGTGGGACATCCCCTTTTACAGATGTGGAGTTTGGAACTCAGTAAGACAAATCACTTGCCCAAAGTAATACCGCTAATGTTGAAGCTGATGTTTGATGCCAGGGAGCTCGACCCCACCACAGTCTAGGTGCTCTCTGCCCTGCAGGATGCTACTCTGGGTGCCCAGGAAATCTACAGGAGGGTCTTTACCACTTACAGGGGCCTTTGGGGGTGATGATCTCCCACTGATGTTTGTGTGTTTTCTTCCTAGGGATGCTGTGAAGAAGTGTTTTGCTGTCTGTCTTGCATAGCACGTGGTCAGTTGTGCAAGGCTTTGGAAGGCGCCGTGGACGGAAGCTGGTGGACAGTTCTGTAAATACCTTCTAAACCTCTGTCTTACAGACACGTGCCTTTTCTCTTGCAGCAGTGTGTTGCTTGTGATCTGAACATTTGAGGTTGCTTTTGGAGGCAATGTTGTGGTCCCAAACCCAAATGTCTATAGCACGGTATGAGAGGTGGGTTCTGTATCTCATGGGGTAGACTATTCCTCACGCACTTGTTCCCTCTTTAGATGAAGTGTTCCACTGAAATCTTCTAAATAAAAACCTTGTTCAGCAGCCACAGGTCAGCTTGGGAGCCAGGGCTCTTCTGGGGGTGACAGGCGGCCCCATCAGAGCTGGCAGGGGTACGGCCGTAAGGGACAGGGTTTTGGGGTCTGCGGGGACTTTGTGGACTTTCCCTCAGCATGGAGAACCTCCCCCCACCTCACCCAGTGTGGACGTGCTTCTGCTCTGGGGTCTGCCCCCCCGGCAGCTGCACACAAGCCCGTGGAGAGCCTGCTCATAGAGTGACCTGGGAAAGGAGCACTTTTTGGGGATATGTGTTGTTTTTAAATCTGCACGTTGGCTTTATTGTTCTTCTGATTCCACACTTGACGATGGAATATATCTTCTGACATTCCATGCACTCTTTTTCTCTCGGGGTTTTCTTTCTTTCTCCCCTTCCACATAGCTTTTCTCATGGCCTCCTGGAACTGGACTGGGGACGAAGCATGGCCCACGTTATGGGACATGAGGTCAAGGTGCCTTTTGAGATGTCACCGGGGCTGTGTAGCATAGTGGTAGTGGATGTGGGCTTTGACGGCACATAGGTTTGGGTATGAGTGGTTCGGTCACATACTGGTGTCAGAACAGACACTGTTTGCTTTTGCACAAGAGCTGACAGGAGGGAAAAGTCTTGCTGCTTTCCACTCTTTTTTTTCCCCCCCATTATTTATTAATGTTGCTTTTAAACTGATTCTGTTTTCCATTCTCCCCTGGAACGGGGCCAGGGTAGAGCGAGTGGGAAGGCAGAGCCCCGTTGTGGGGCCCGCGGGAAGGAGGCACGCCTGCCCGGTGACCTTCCAGCGGTGCCAGGGTTTCCAGCGGAGCCCACGCCACAGCACCGGGGGTGGGACGCCATGGGCGGCAGGGGGCGCGCATCGCAGCCCCTGCCTCACAGCACACGGTGCTTTGTGCCCGGGATTCTGTCTGGGCGCACGAGAGCCTGGTGACGAAGTGGCGATGGTTCTCTCATTGGGCAGTCAAAGAGATCAGGCTCAGAGAGGTCAGCAGATTCCCTCAAAGCCACGGTTGGTGGCAGAACGGGGCCCGGAGTCTGGGCGCCCCAGCTTCAGTCCCCTCTGTGCCCCCGTGTTTCCCGGCGTGGCTCCGGAGGCGCCTCCTCTAACTGTGCTGCCTGTTCTCATCAGCCAAGCCTGTGCCTTTTCTGCTCCCAATCTCTTTACATCGCTGCACTGTTTCCTGCCCAGTTTCCCTTTTGGGATGCTTCCTCCTGGTTCTGTAGGCTCTCCGTTGTTCGTTTGTGTGCCCTTGTAGCTCCTCCTTGCTGCCTGACCAGCATAAATGCCCTATCTTGATTGCCAGAGTTCTTGGCCTTGCGGGGCCTCTAAAGCAGCCCCATAAGTGACATCTCTTTGGGGTTGCCTTTCTGTTCCTTACCCAGGTCTAGCTGGCCCACTCGGGTTATTGCTCTGGAACCTCCACACCAAAGGCTGTGGTCCACGTGTTGTCTCCTTGCTTGTGGCCAATTGCTAAGTTCTTTCTCCTGTTGCAGCTGAGACCTCAGACCGGGCAGCCATTTCCTCTGAGCTGCGGAGCTGTGAGCAGTCTGAGAGGGCCAGAGGAGGCAGTCTCACTGGGTCCTCTCTAGGCTATGGAGGGCACCCCGGCTTATCCTGAGGTTCCTAACCTGCCTTCAGCCAGGAAGGGAAATTATGTGCTACCCTCTGGCTTTTGTGGAGTTCTTTTACATCTGAGGCGCCCCTAGGAGATAGCTCAGATCTTGGAGGCGCTCTAGAAAGGGGCCCAAAGGAGGTCCGGAGTGTCTGTCATGCCCTCTCTTAAGAGCGGGTGTGGGGCTAGCCTGTCTCTAAGAGCTCCAGCCAGCCTGGAGTAACTAGACGGCTGAACCCTCTGACCCTTTGCAATGTCTGGGCTTGACATTGTGGGACATGAGGTCGAGGTGCCTTTTGAGGTGTCACCGGGGCTGTGTAGCATAGTGGTAGTGGGTGTGGGCTTTGACGGCACACAGGTTTGGGTGTGAGTTGTGCTTCGGTCACATACTGGTGTCAGTTTGAGCAAGTTACTTAAGCTCTGGCTCCTCCCTTTAAAGACAACAGAGGTAACAGCTCCTGCTGGATCACTGTCCATCAGTGAGCTGTGTGTCAGGTGCTTTGCCTGGAGCCCAGGGAATGCAGACGATATCTCAGGAAAAGGAAGGTTATTTTTATTACATCCCAGAAGTAACCGATGATCTTTGAAGGTGACATGTCTGTCAGACATGAATGTCTCTGACCATTAACTTATCTACAAAATATGTATCTAGCATTATGTGTCCAGCACAGTAGCGTTGCCATGCCTGGTCTCATTTAATATTCACAGTGACTTTGCAGGCTGGTGGTCCTGTTTCCCTTACTGAAGAGGCGAACAGCCTCAGGGAGGGTAGGCGTCCCTCCAGATCTCACCAGTAGAGGGCGGTGGTTCTTGAGTTAAAGCGCCTGCTTTGCCCTAACGCCCGGCCTGTGGCCAGTTTGCACAGACCGCTCCAGACAGGACACTGGGCAGCTTTTGGATGATCCTGCCATTTGGGATCTTCCAGACTCCTGCATTTCCCTTCTGCCATCTCACCCTTTGGTTTTCCCTACTTGTTTTTGCCTCCTGCATGGTGGGAGGAAGAAATCCATGTTAAAGCTGCTGAAAGCTGTTACCAGGCAACGGTGTTAGTTTGCAAGCACCGTGGTGGGCGAGAGGGTGGGGAATTAGGGTTCAGACCCTGCGGCTGGCAGGCTGGCAGTCCCGTCTTGGTTTCCTGCAACACCCCCCCCCCCCCCCACTTCACTGCTGGGGGAAGGAGAGGTCGTTGCATTTTTGCAATGGAAGGAATCATTCAGGCGACTCTTGCACCGCAGCGTGCTCCCCGGAGGTGAGGTGGTGCCTCCAGCTGCATGTGAGCAGTGCCCCAAGCACCACGCTTCCCTCTGTGGGTACTGCGTTGGGCGCTGCGCCTCTCCCCAGGCCCAGACAGCTGTCTCCCAGGCCTCGGAGCCTGCTGTGTGACTCCCTGCCGCCCAGGTCCCTACCTAGGAGGTTCCCCTTCTGCTGACCGTGCTCACGGGCAACTCTGGCTGCCACATCCTGTGTGGGGCCATGTCCCTGGCCGCTGCTGCCCAGGCCCAGCTGGAGGTTCCGTGGGAAAGTGGGACATCATCCCCCGTGGGGCATTTCCACTGGATTGATGATCTCAGTGCTCCATCATTCTGTATGGGGACTTCCGGGGGTGGGATATCCCCCGACTGCCACCTCCCTCCTACCCTAATGGTATGCTCAGGGAGCAGGAAATAAAATCATGAAGTGCATCTAAATAAATTCCTTTTGGACACTTGCATTGGAAAAGATGATTAAGAAGTGGGGTATACCTTGAAGAAAGGGTGTGGGAAGTACTGGTTTAGCTGCTTCTGCTTTTGACAGCTCCAGGAGAGTGACAAGTGTGTCAGTGTGACGTTCGGGGCAGTGAATTAGGAAACTGAGCTCAGCCCATGGCCGTGCCTTCCCTTTTCTGTGGGGCAGCCCGTACCAGGCCCGCCTTACCTTCTCTTCCTTCAGACGTCTGACTGGAGTCAGCTGCAGGATTACAAACTAGTTAAAAATTCACAACCCACTGTTGACCCTCATTTTCAGCAAATAACTGAAAAAAACTGTGCTCAGTTTTTGAATTTTTTTTTATTTTAACATTTAAGATTTTTTAGGATGTTTTAAGGGGTAGTTTTTTGCAGATAGCAGTTTTTAAAAAGCTAACAGACCCACAACTGAAGTTAAATACAGATTTATTATATCTGAAACTCTTGATAAGATATAAAAAAATTTAGATTTAGAATTTTATTTTTTTGGAAATTCTTATTTAAAAAGTTAGTTGGGAGGTTAAATCATGTGACTTTAAAGTACCTTCTAATTCATAGTTTATGAATTTTATGAAATTCTGTGATCTTGAGCATTTTCAGTCAAGTAAAGAGAAAACTGTTGTGCACTTCATTTGATCCCAGTTCCCTCAAAGATGGGCTGCTTAGTTCCACTTTGGGCTATTTCCAGTTCTACCCCAAAGGTATAGGTGACACTCCCAGGTCCCTGGTACACTTAAGCTTTGTTGTGGGGTGCTCAGGTTTCTGTTGCGCAGAAAGGCCTCGCGAAGCTTGGGCAGAGATCTCGCACTAGAGTTTGTGAGCATAGCTCAGTGAGGCAACCCTTTGCTAATGTACGTTGACCACATAAAATTCCATTCTTCTGAGCAGGAGCCCATACACTAATAATGGGCTTAGAAATGCACAAAATTTTTCTCTGGATGGGATGAGCTGAGAGCAGAGAAGATTGAGTTTGCTAGGCAGGTGCTATATCGTCCTCTTTCCATCCACAGCATTGTAGTAAACAGCTAATGCTGAGGTGCATGTTTATGACATGTGTTGTAAACACGTGTTTACTACATGTGATAAATAGTACGAAAGAACCCCATGCATCACAGACAAACATTCCCTGATATAAGTGGGCTGCCTGGGCCTTGTGAGGTATCCTTTACGACCAAATGAAGATTGGTATCTAGGCAGAATGTTCTCTGTCGAACTTCCGTACTGCCGGTAATGAGCCTTATTCTAAGTACAAGCAATTTGTATTTGTAACATACCCTAAAGGAGAAGCATGGTTTACATTCAATTTTGCGGTCTTTCTGCTATGAGAAGTGTTTATTTTGCTTTTTTCAGTCTGTTTGCTTGATGTAGCCACTTTGAACAAGGAAAGGAAAAATTTAAAATCCTCTCAACTCTTATTTTGCTGCTTTTGTAAATTCTGGTGGTGAAGTTGGGGATAAAGATGGTCAAAAGCCCATGGAGAATTTACATGCCTTCAGAACATTGTGCCTGTTCTAATATGATGAGCTTTTAAAAAATACTTTGTTAAAACATGAATCAGTTTTTGTAATTGTACAGAGATATTCAACTAATTTTGAATGCTGGTGATTGTATAACTGAATTTTGTATATCCAAAAATATGTTCTTGTGTGCTACTTTTCCTACCTTGAGATTCTATTTCATACAACGA